ATATATATATATATATATATATAGAGAGAGAGAGAGAGAGAGAGAGAGATTTAATTGTTTCTTATATCTATTGTGTGCTCGAATGCACCAATAAGAATTTAATAAATATTAAACTATTATTTAATCAAATAAAGATAAATATTAAATGATTTCCATAATTATGTGTATATTAAATAATATCTGTAATTATATTTTTTTTATGGAAACTAATTAAATTCGTCATTAATGTCAGCAATAATATTTTTTCAAAATGAATTCGTCTCAAGAAGAATAAGATAATATTTTAGCAGAATTGGAGTGTATTCTAGTAGAATACACTCTCGTTCTTCATATTCCATGCAACTTTATTATATTTTAAGTGAGTGTGTCCTGAAACAAAACACGAATCCATACATAAAAACCTAAATACGAATTCATTCTGAAAGAATGTTATTGCTGACATTAATGACGAATTTAATTAGTTTCCACCAACATTCCATTCATCTTCCACATACCAATCAATATCGTTTAAAATGTTTCATTACATACATGTTAAGGAAATGATTAATTAGAGATGATAGAGGTTGGTTTGAAGGTTTCTGATTCGTAGTCCAAAAAACAAAAGTCAATCACTTCATCATCATAGCCCTCATCTGTACATATGTTTTGCAAATTGTTTCTATATTCTGTCGTGTGATGTAGATGCTATTCAAAGACATTGATCTTGCAGTTCAACAGTTCCTTTAATATTCAAAACCTTCAATCTTTCGCTTCTTGCATGGAACAAAATGAGTTTTCCACCAAAAAATTATCAAAAACCCTCACCTTATTCTCTCAATGGTTTTGAAATATGTATGTTGTATTTGACATTTTGAAAATGGTGAAATATACATTGTCGTTTGAGTGTTTCCAAGAGAACGACACTCGATTGAAATGGTAACCTGCAACATAACTTAACATGTTGGTAACATGTCAATACTCAATTAATGAAACTGATGACCAAAACTAATAGCAAAAGAGTAACAAAATTTTTAGGGCAAGTTGCAAACTAAGACGTAAATCTTATGACTTTTATATCGGTAATCTATATATCATTATCAATTAATTATGTTAACTTAATTTATTAGAATATACGAATTATTTTTCGTATGTCTTGTAAAAATTATAAAAAAATTACATCGTCAATAGAGATAAAAATTAAGAGACCACAACCGTATATTCATTTAACTCCTCTCATATTGGATTTACATCCTTACAGTTTTAATGTATTATTAAAGAAATAATAATGATATAAACTACAAAATTCAAAACAAAAAGGGTAATTTTCAAAACTTAAGAGACATGGCTAAAATTTTAGTATTTTTGAGCTTTAGATATAATCGAAGTCATTCATACTCTCATGGCATGGGCGATATATTGTTAACAAAATTTGGAACTTGAAAGACAAAATTTCCTTTGTTGTTGGAGTCATTCTCATGATGCATGGTTGGAGTTATAATGTTGACCAAATTTCCTTTGTTGTTGACATTTCCATATGTGTAGGTTGCTGGTTTGGGTTAGGTTGGTTTGCACTTTTGTGTAGTCATGGTTTGGTGTTTTGGTTAGTGTTAGGTTGGTGGTTTCGTTTGTTAGTTAATTCTGATGTTTTGATGATATGAATTGGTAGTAGTTATGGTATTGTAATGGTTTAAATTGATACAATGATATTAGTTGTGGTAATCTACTAAGGGCATGTTCGGCACGGAGCGTTTGAGAGCTTCTAGCTTCTAGCGTTTGACAAAAACGTTCCGTTTTGAACAGAAAGCCTCGTTCGGCACTACGAGCTTCTAACGTTTAGTTTAAACAAAACGCTCCAAATCCAAATGCTACTTCATGTAGCGTTTAACAAAACGCTACAAGCTACAAGCTACCCGCTACCAGCTAATTTTGCCGAACACGCCCTAATATTGTGGATACGTTTGTTAATGATCATAATGTACAAAATAGCCATCTACTATAAGTTGTTCAAAGCTGTGACATAAAACTAGATGCTAGATTGGCAATTGGAAGTTTTTTTTACCAAAAGTTAACATAACGTCAACCAAAAAGGTCAAGCATATTCTAAAGTTCCCAACATACCCTCTACCCAAATTAGCCTAATGGGTAGAACAACCTCCATCTTGAGTAAGAAATCACTTTCCACAATACCCAAAAACAAATCTTTGAATTCCAACCAACGAAAAATTTTCACATATCGCATGTATTCAACGTATGGAAAATTTGTTTTTGACACCTTCTACTAGTTCCTGTACCAAACGGATTATTTTTGATATCTTCTAATAGGTTGTGGATTCAATTTTCAAATTCCCAATGCCGATAATCTCGACCCCTTTGCGTTTATCTTGGCCAGGTCCTGCTATCGATTTAATTGTGAAATTTCCAATTCCGCCGATCTCGACCCACTTCCTAAATATCTCGCCATCTCGTTTTCATTTCATTCGATTTCACCACTTTGGTGCGTCAATTAAAGTTGAAATAGACGCCCGCCATGGAGTCCAAATTCACCGTTGTTTCTTCATCGATCATAATCACCTCCTTCTTGTCTGGATCCATTACGCACCAACGATACAATGAAGCATTACAACGACTCAGGCGATATTTCATGGTGTGTCTATGCTCTTAGCTCCAGTGGTCTTCTGATAACCTATGCTAAAATTATTGTATTTTCCATGATCAATTGAAGTGTTCATTTTCAGGGAATTAATTTTTGTTTGTTACATGTGACTGAAGCTTCACTAAACACGACGTTTAATGCTTTTGTTCTCGGAAACGAATTGATTGTTGTTCTAGCAAACGAATTAATTTTTGTTCTCACAAACGAAATGATTTTTCAACATTAATTATGTATAGATTTCAGTAGAATGGTTTGATTTTCTTTTTTGCTGAATTGCAGTTGCTTCTATTTTCCATCAATGAGGTCTCAAGACCATATCTGCAATATGTCCATATTTAGATTTCAGTTGACCATATCCTCTTCCTCATGTTGATGTACCTTTGCGTTAGTTTGGCGTGAGTTTTCTTTCATTGGGATATAAGTGGCACAAATTCTTGTTGTAAATCAGAACCAATAGAAACCGATAAATAATATTGAGAATTATATGTCCATTAGTTGCGAATAATAGATCCAATTATAATTAATATGATTACTAAGTTTCGTCCAGAAACCAGATTAATCATTCTCAATTAGATCTGATTATAACAAAGGTAGAATGAGAGTGTCCTGTTATTGGACGAAAATAAACGCAAGACAATAAAACAAAACCGACTTGTTAACGATTGATCTTGAACGTGTAATAATTGCACGGATCGAACTCCTGTCCTTAAAAGTTTTTACTCCGCTTCTATCGACTGTAAGCAACAGAGTAAAACCCGAGGATTTAATGCAGATTTACCGAGTTTCCAACAACAATGAAAAACGATAAACGCAAAGTAAATACTCAGAAAGTGGAAGAAATCGCCAAGAGAGAAAGAGAGAGAGTTGTTAATTTTCGAGCAGAAAATACGGCTCCTAGAGAGTTGTATTTATAGATTTCGAAAAACCTAGAAGGTAGCAAAAAAACCCTCATGGGCCGGCCCTTAGAAACCCTAGGCAATGTCTTGCTCTCCAAACAAGTTGTTTACCGGGCCTTCCAGAATATTCTGAACGAACTGGATTCGGTCCCACTCGACCGATCCCGAAACTGCTAAAAATAAAAGCTCCTCATTTCCCAATGACCGATGTGTATGGGCCGACCCCTAGAAACCCTAGGGCAACGCCTTGCTCTCCAAGCAAGCCGTTTACCGGGCCTTCCAGAATATTCCGAACGAACTGAATTCGGTCCGACTCGACCGATCCCGAAACTGTTAAAAATAAAAGCTCCCAGCGACCGATGCGTCATGCGAAGTGCGCCTAAATCGCGCCATTTCGCGCACTCACGACGTCGGCTAGTGCTAGGCGCGCGTGTGTGGGCTTGGTCCATTCCTTTGATCCACTAAAGCCTTTGAAGGCCTATCAAGGGAAAAGACTTATAAACCTACACAAGGTTTCTTCCCCCACAAATGTGGGATAAAGGAAAATAACCAACTTGCAAATATACCTTCATAATTTCCAACAATCCCCCACCAAGTTGGAAAGTTTCCTTTCACTCAGACAAATGATGTCACTTGGATGTCATAAAGATTAAACCCTAGTTTAATGAGAACAAACAAGAAGAGACCAATTCAATGATATCCTTATAGGTTTAAACCATGAACCTTGTGACCTCTCCGATTTACC